AGTCCAGCACGTGATGCTGGTGGAGAAACTCTCCTTCTTTTCCTCCTTCTCCTCCTTCTTTTCCTCCCCTTCTTTTCCTCCTTCTCCTCTTTCTTTTCCTCCTCCTTTTCCTCCTTCTTTTCCTCCTCCTTCTCCTCCTCCTCCAGTGCAGAGTTGCCACTGCAGCTGTGCATGTGCCTGTGCTTTGCACACACAGGTATATACATATATACATATATATTCATTACATACACATCTATATACATCCAGACACGCAGGATCCACCCATCCCTGTTCCCAGAGGCTCCAGCCTGGCCCAGCAGCTGGCAAAGAGCCCAGGGAGATGCTGGTTATTCCCATAAACCTTTCAGTGTTGAAAACTCAATGTCACTTAGGAGCTGCAAGAGCCTTGCAGGAAAGCTCTGAGCCCAGAAAAAAAAAAAATCATCATAAAAAGGGTAGTTAAAGGAAGGGGGGGTAATGAATTTTAAAAGTCTATTCTTGGTTTTAGCTAATGGTTTTGTTCCTGTTCAAGCCTCTGAGCCTCATGGCAGGACAGAGAGCTCTGAATTGTAGAGCTGGGAAGCAGGAGCCAAGGCTTGTGTGGAGCAAAGGAGTTCCCAAGCAGGGATTGTTGGCACCCACCAGGCAAACTGGGGAGGGAATGGGAAATCTAGAGGCAAAGCAGCACACCACAGCACTCATCCAGCCCAGAGCCATCACCTTCCCTGCAGCAGGTTCCTCCCAGTGCAGGGTCCTGCTGCTTGGTTTTAGAAGGCCCCAAATTACAGATATTTTTGGATGAAAGGGGCAAATCACTCTTAGCCCTGTAAAAACCCACCCAGCTCCTGCCACTGGCTGGGCCTCCTCCATCCCTGCCCTTCCCATCCTCCCTCTTCCAGCCCTTGGTTGGCCTCTCACACATGTTTTCTAGTCTTCCCTTCCCTTTGATCCCTTCCTCCTGCCTCCTCCTTATTTCTGTGGCCCAGGAGTGACTGGATATTTATCACTTTCCTCTAAGGCACCAACTGCTGCAAATCACAGCAGAGAGAGCCTGTAGGCCAGCACAGCTGGCAGAGAGGAGCTGCCACCTCCTTTCACACTCTGCAATTCCACATCTCCTACAATTATGAGACTGGAATGGCAAAAAGTCTTCCTTGGCCTCCAGTGCATCACACACATACACATGAACTGGTAGAAAAGGAGTATAAAAGCAAGTGGAAAATGCCTTCCCTGTGCCCATATGGCTGCCCACATCCTCGGGGTGCACAGCTGGAAGGATGAGCACATCTGGGCACTGCCCCAGCTGGGAGAGGCAGCTGTGGATGGATGAGATCCCCAGGAGGGATGCACATGGACTGAGAAGCAGCTCAGCTTGTGCTGAGTGGGATGATGCCAGATCTGGGAAGGGATGAGCAGGAGATGCTCAAGCGAACGTTGGAGTTAATTTTCCTAAAATCTTGCTGTGTAGCCAAAGCAACAGCTGAGGGAAGCCACTTGTGTCCCTCCCCCTGTGCTTTCTAGCCTCTTCCCCATCCTTCTTCACACCAGGAATCCCTGAAAAGCCCTGGAGCACAGCAGCAAGATGCATGTGCCCGTGCAGAATTGCCTGCTGGAGGGAGCAGCTGCACCTCACTGCCCACCATCTGCCTCTGGCTGCCCTTGGCATGGCCACAGGCTCAGCACCACTGCCCAGCACCAGAGCATGCTGTGATCAGGGGTGCTCAGCCTCAGGGATGGCCACACAGCACTCCATCCTCACCACAACCCCCTGTTCACCCTGGTCAGGGGTGTCCAGCCTTGGGGATCACCATGCTGCAGCTCAACCCACCCACAACCTCCTGTTCAGGGGTGCCCAACCTTAGGGATGGCCATGCTGCAGCTCAACCCCACTACAACCTCCTGTCCAGGGGTGCCCAACCTTAGGGATGGCCATACTGTAGCCCAACTCCCACCACAACCCCCTACACACCCTGTCAGCATCATGCAACCAGGGTTCCATTAGGGTTCTCCCCATCCCCATAGCTCTGGTCATGGAAAAATGATGGGATCTGTGATTTTTTATTTTTTGAAGATGGGTTTGCCCAAAAGCACACAGCCCATGTTCAGCTCCATCTCACCATCCCCTAGCCTTGCAGGGAGGCACAGGATCAATCATTCTCCAGCAAGACAAGGCTTTTTTAACTCCAAGCATCACGTCCAACAACTGACCCAGTGCCCCTAGGGAACTGAGGTGACAGGAAAGGCTGTGACATAATTTAGCAGCAGAAAAGATGAGCTCTAAGCCCAAAACATATTCTCTTTGAGCTCATATCTCTCTCCAGCTGGAGAGCAAACATGTGGAAGCAAGAGACATACAATGAATTAAGACTTTGGTCACTTCTGATTACCAGTTTAATTACCTTCACCTCTTTTTGTATGTGCTCATCTTGTTCTTTTAATTACTGCAAGAGAAAGTTCTGCTCAGGCTCCTCTCACCCACCCACTTCCAGCCTTCCTCACTCCTGAAACTGGAACGGATTTAAGTGCCAGGATTACAACTTAACACCAGCTGAGAGAACTGAGGTTAAGCTTGAGTGAATAAAAAAATTGTATTATAGAACTTCAGACTATTAAATAGGGAAAAAATGGAATGAAGAAGATTAGGGAAGCAGCTAAGAAAAGCAGCATTAAAAAGATTAAGCTGGGAGAGGGTTTTTTTTTTTCATGCAAGCTCCAAAGATTAAGTCCATATTTTTCCAGAGGATGGTGATTTTGGGTGGCCTTGCCATGCCCAACTCATTAAATCATGGAGAGGCTTCATTTCTGCCACTCCCCATTGCTTGGACCCTTTGTGTGATCCCAACAGGAAAAAAAATCCCCAAATCCATCAAATCCATGAGTTGAAACTCCACTTTGAGCAGGACAGGGAAAGTGGCTCTTGGTGCCAGGTTGGCACCAGCCTTCTCCAGCTGTGTGGTCCCTCCTTCACAGCATCCTCATCCTCCCCAGCTGGGATGGACCCAAGAATGGTCTCACACACACACTCAACACTGTCTGCCTTCCAGCAACACCATCCAACAACTGGATCATCTTCTCCAAACTCAAAGAACCTAAACTGATGATGACTCTGAAGCTCTAAAATGGGGATTTTAGAGCTCAACCTATGCCCAGGGCTCTGTTCCCTACCCTGAAGCAAAGCTAGGTCATCATTTTGAGGCATTTATAGTCCAAACCTCACATCTTCCCAACCACAATCCCATCCAGCCATCCAAGGAAAATGTACAGGGATTTCATTTCATATATATATATAACTGTGTATGTATGTGAGTGTATATATATATATATATAGATATAGATATTTAAAATAAGCATTTGGCCTCTCAAATCCCTTCCATAAAGCTTTGCTGTCTTGTAGGTTCCACCATGGTCATAAATCCCTGTGTCCACTAACACCCTGAGGGGACAAAGTGTCACTGGCTCCATGCAGGTTAATTCACAATGCAACAGAGTCAAAGTAACTGATTTTTCTCCCCTCTCCTCATTTTCCTGTTTACAATGCTCCAAGAGCATAGCCAAGGTCTCCATGGGACACCATCAAGATCACAACCATGGTGAAAACAAAGCTCCTTGACTGCATGGCAAGCAGTGCTTCAGCTAATTAAAAGCCAACCCATTGAGATATCTAATTGACTTCTCTGTGCAGAGAGCTTCTCCAAGAAATCCAGCCTTTCTACAAGGCACACTTGGGTCTGGATCAGGCCCTGCTGCTCTGCACCTCAGGCAGCCTCAGAGGGGACACCAGAACCTGGGTGCTGTTGGCTTCCAGGGCTGGTTGCTCCCAGGCTCCTGGTGCTCTGTGGGTTACATTGGGATTTAAGCAACAATAAAAGCAACACAAACCATCAATCTTGGGTCTTGTAAGTGATATGTAGCAACCAACTTGCCCTGGGGCTGAGCAGTGGGAAGTCACCACTCTGCCCCATCTTCCTCACCTTCTGGGTGCCAGCAGGGAGCCCTGTCCAACCCCTGAGGGGATAGACTGGCACCTCTGCTTGGCATTTCTTTCCTTATGCTGCATCTCACACCTTGTAGAGCTTTGTTATCCTCCTCTGGAGGAACTGGGGAGAGGCTTGAGCTGCTCCATTTCCAACTCCTCTCCCTGCCAGCTCCCCACCAGCAACGTCCCACTCCAGTTCCATCCCAGTGCTGCTGGTGGTGCTGCACAAGGCCAGTTTTATTGGTCACAGTGAAAATGCAGCCAAGGCCAAGTCCTTTCTCCACCAAACCCCCAGGGTCTGTAGAATTAAGGTCTCTGGCTGTGCACAGCGATGCAGTGAAGGGAGGTGGTGGCAGGAGAGCAGCAGTGGGAGATGCCCCAACGTGGCTTCTTGCTGCTCCACAAAGTTGATCTAAAAAGATCATTTCCAGCCTACTGGCCATGTTTGTATGGATTTCTTTATTCCCCACTCCAAGAGCAAACCATGGGGCACCAGGTATTCCAGCCCCTTGTGCTTTTTCCAAGGTTTGAAGCGTAGCTGAGAGTCGTGTCCTCTCTTCAAACACAAGCAAGGAGCAAAGGAATTCCTGCAAAGCAACCAACCCCCTTCAAAAAGGAAACAAATCATAAAAACAAGAGAGAGGGAAACAAACCTCTCGCCTTTATGAATGGAAAAACAGGAAGATAAATCCAAACCAACCCCCCTGTGCCCCAGGGCTGGTACAAGGTGTCTGGATCCCAGTCTGTTGTGTTGATGGGAAAAGTCCAGTTGACTTCCAGCCACTGTCAGCAGCCTAATTGCCCTGTTCTGTGCTCACCAGGGCACTCCTGGGCATGGCTGCCTTGGCATTGGCTCCTTGCCCTGTCCCTCCCACCAGCAGCAAGGCCAGCAGGACTCGGTCCGACCTCAGCGACGCACTGGGCACTTGATGCTTCATCATCCCAAAGAGATGTGTTTTCTCCTTTAGCTGTTGTGGGTTTTGCTTTTTAAATTCACAGTCTGATCCAAAAAAAGAGAGAGAAAGAGAGAGAGAGAAAGAGAGAGACTGGATGAAGGAGAGGAGGAGGGAGAGTTTGGAGCGGGGAGGGAGGGCGAGGCACGCCGGCTCTCCTTCTACGCGTAAAACTCCTCCTGCTTGTCGGGTTTCTGGTAGGTCACGTTGGCTTGTTTGGGCTCCTCCAGTGTGTAACTGCCCTCATCCTTCTTCTTCATCCGGTAGATGAGCAGCATGACCAAGAAGGCAGCGAAGAGAGCTCCCACCACACCACCCACGATCACAGCTGCAACACAGACAGTGGCAGAGCCATCAGTGCCACCCCTTAGCCCCAGCCTGGCTCTCAGCACGAGTTATTTGGGGGGATCATTTTGGATTCCAGCTTGGGTTTATGCTTTGCATGTTTGTGAGAGTTACTTTCCTCCTGAAATCTGTGGTTGAAAGTGAAGGTGAGGGGCTAAAACAGCCACATGACTCCAGGAACTTCAACACACTCCCCAGTGCTGTGATGTGGAGGGGCAAGTGGAACCTGGAGGACTCTACTCTCAGCTGCATGGTGGGTGATGGACTGACACGAGGCAACCCAGGCACAAAGAGATCTCTCCATAGGCCATAACCTCATAGGAGGAGGGTGAACAATGTGCCCCCAAGAGCTGCTCATTTGGGTGCTTGTCAGCACATGCCATATTCAGCTGAAGACCCCCAGAACTGTGGCTGCCTTGATGTGCCACCAACCCTGACCCCCAGAGCTACAACTGCCTTGCCATGCCACCACCTCCAGCTCCCTCCAGCAGGCAGTGAGTCACTGACACCTCTTCCCCACCTCTGATGTCCCTCTGGTTGGGACAAGTGGCCCTCCCAGGGCACCTCTCTCCTCCCCAGGAGGTACTCAGCCAGCACATCTTTCCACTAACATCCTCAATTTTCCTGGACACCATCTTAGCAGAAAGAAACTGTACACAGCTCTGCACTCTCCAGGCAAAGACATGAAGACCCCTAGGACCACCCCCAGCACAGGCCATGAAGCTATTCTGGCAGGGGAGTGTGTAGTACCCCATGCTCAACACTACCCCAATGCCCAAAAACCAACCACTCTCCTGGGGCATGGACATCCCATCTCTCTGTCCCCCCCAAACACACCAGCTGCTCCCCATGAGCCCACAGCCCCTGAGCTCACCTATCAACACCTCTTTCCTCTCCAGGATGTTTTTCTGGGGGAGCTGTGCAGCTGAGTTGCCAGAGTCTATCGTGTTGTCGATGAGCCCCGTGTCCGCGTTCCTGCCCGGCCCAGGTCCCGATGGAGGTGTCACCACGGCCATCACCTCGTTACCGAGGTCAGGACGAGTCGTCTCCTCCTCCTCCTGGATCTCAAAGTCCCCACTGGGGCCGCTGCTGGCTGGGACCTCCAGCTCGTTGTCGAGGACTGTTGTCACCTCCCCTGGCTCCATCTGGGAGAAAGGAGAAGATGGAGCAGGGGACAAAGACCAAAGGGTGGTTCCTGCCTCCAGCAGGAAGGACATCACAGTACTGAGGACAGGGTGGCCCTCTCAGCAGGGAACATGGGGGATAATGTTGGGGTGTCCTTTCCCTGTGTCACTGAAGTGGATGGTTTTACTGCAGCAAGCAGCACAACCCCACATCCTGATGGTCACCAAAAGGCTGAGGTCACCGTGGCTGAGCTGGACTATTCTTTTCTGTCCCCATTCCTGGTGCCCTTGAGATGCACAAACTCTTACCTGTTCCCTGTAGCTTCCCCTAAAGAGATCCCACACCCTAGAACCTCCTTTGGGCTCTCTGTCCCCAGTGCAGACCCATGGTTGGATAACACAGCTCACAGGTGCCTCTTTCCTAGACATGAAGTGACACAAGGGTTTGTGTCACAGCAGGTGTAAGGATCAGATGCCATCAGATCAGCTCCAGGGAGTCCCTTCCCTCTGCCTTGGCTCCCTTCAACCTGTTCTTATGGCTGCAGCCCTGTGCACACAGCAGGAGCAGGAAAATGTGTCCTTCTCACCCAGGACATGGAACCAGCTCAGTTCCCTGTAGTCCCTGACCAACCCCCTTGGCAAGAAGGGGACACCAGCCTGGAGAGCAAACACGGGCTGGGCAGATGAGGCACTCCAACTCCCTCCATCCCACCCTGACCTATTCATTGCCTCCTGTGCATCCACACACATGTCCTTCAGGGCAAAATCCCTGGAACCTTGTGGTGCTAGGTGATAGGGTTTAATGCTTTAGGGGTTACAGTGCTAGGTGGACAGTTGGACTTGAAGGTCTTCAAAGGTCTTTTCCAACCTTGATGATTCTATGATTCCCCCTTGTCCCTGCCACGTGTCTCCATGCTGAGCTGGACCACACTGAGCATCTCCAAGCCAAACCTCCCTAAGATCCTTCCTTTATGGGCAGATGTCTCCTTCCACATCTGCCTTGGCATGTTACAGATTAGGATGAGCAAAGAGCTGGATGGACCAGAGCTGGGGAGGGCAAGTGGGAGCCTCTCCATGTCACAGTGCCCCCAGGGCCAGTGCATGGCTCACTGCTTCCCACAAGCAGGCAGTTTTGTGACAGAGATTAATTGAAGGTCAGGGAGAGCCCAGAGCACTCTACATACAGATTTGTAGGCAGAAAAGAGGGACTAGTTTAGACAAATCACTCCACCTTTCAGTCAAAGCATTTGCAAAGGGCCCCTGAGGGGCTCTGAATGTGAGATGGATCAGTGGATTCAATCCCCTGCTCAGGACACCCCAAGGGCTGGAAATGCACTGTCAAGCCATAATTGAGAAGGTTTTGGGCCTCCCACTGATGAGCTGTGAGTTAGGAAATAGGATGATGAGCATCAGACACCAAACCCTGAGGAGAGCTTCTCTGTACCCATAGGTGATGGTACCTCCAGCCCTGCTGCCCTCCTGCCTGGGGAGGCTGTTCCAGAGGAGCTGGACAAGGCAGAGCCAGGAGCATTGGGATGCATGACACCTTTTGGGTGCCTCTCTGTCCTCATGGGTGATGGTACCCCCAGCTCTGTTGCCCTCCTGCCTGGGGAGGCTGTCCTGGGCAAGGCAGATCCAGGAGAACTGGGATGCATGGCATACCCCTGGGTGCCCCATCAGCTCTCCCCACAGCCTGATCACCGTGCCCTGCCCACACTAATCCCCCACCCTTTAACCTCCTCCCCCAGCTCCCCAAATGTTCCATCTCTGTGGAGCTGGGAAGAGCCCAACAAGGTTTGACCTCCCTCTGAGCCACTGGCCAAGCTCAGATCAACCCCAAAGCCTTCCCATCACCATCACTTGGCTTCACACATGACCCACAAGCACTTCAGCAGGTGAGAAGGGCTCCTGCCTCCTACCTGAGGGGTTTCTGTGGGTGGCAGCGTGGCAGGAGTGGGTGGCAATGCAGTGCTTTTTTCTGTGAGGTCTGCAGTCCTGGAGGTGGTTGGTTTGGGCAGGGACCTGGGCTTGGCCGTGCTGGTGGGGACAAGGCGTGTCGTGGCCACCTCTGTTGGTGTGCTGCTCTCAGGGATGGAGGTGGTTGGGATCTCCGGGGTGGTGGCTCGTGTGGTGGCTGCCTTGGTGGCAAAGGGGGGCAGGAACCTCCTGATAGTGGTGGGCTTGACTGTGGCCATGGTGGTGCTGGTGGTTGTCGTGGCCTCGGTGGTGGTGGTGGTGGTAGTGGTGGTGGTGGTGGTGGTGGTGGCCGCAGTGGTCGTGGTGGTGGTCGTGGTGGTCGGGGAGTCACTGGCAGTGGTACTGGTGGTGGTTGCTTTCCAACTGGGGATCACTGGTGTCTCTGTCATCCTGGGGATGTATAAGATACTGGTGGTCTGCCCAGGGGTGGTGTCCTCAGCAGGGAATGGTTCAAAGGGGGTTGCCACGGGCTGCACTGAGGTGACAGGCAGCACGGCCGCCGTGGTGGGCAGCGTGACCGACGTGTCCGTGCTGAGGGTCACTGCTGTCTCTAGCCCCAGCTCCTGCTCGAAATCTGCAAGAGGGAGAGAAAAGCAAAGGGTGAAGCTCCCAGGGCTGATGTGTACATGGTGTCATCCCTCAAAAACCAAAGCATGGACTGGTTCCAGGCTGCAAATTCTCATGTGGTGGCCAAATTCCCTCCATGTGGTCCATGAAAGTATGTGCTCCTGTGCTGGGGAAGGGCTAATCCTGCCCAGGAGGAGACTGAAATGGGTCACACAAGTAGTCAAGCCCAACCTTTGGGACAGTTCCCTCTGCTTTGTCTAGGAGAGGGCAGCAAGGCAGCTCTGAAGATGGATAAAGGGTGATCCCTCCCTCACATGGCAAATCCTTCTCTGGTTCCACCAACCCACATAGCCAGACTCCCCAGGGACCCTTCCCAAGAACCCTGCAGCTACTTGGTGGATGAAAAACTCAACATGAGCTACAGTGTGTGCTCATAGCCCTGAAACCAACCAAATCCTTGGTTGCATCCAAAGGAATGTGGGTAGCTGGTCCAAGGAGGTGATTCTCCCTCTCTACTCTTCTCTGATGAGGCCCCACCTGGAGTGCTGCACACAGCTCTGGTGCCCCCAATGTAAGGAGGACATGGAACTGTTGGAGAAAGGCCAGAGGAGGCCACAAAGCTGATCAGATGGTTGGAGCAGCTTCCCTATGAGGACAGGCTGAGGGAGTTGGGGCTGTTGAAGAGAAGGTTGTGTGGAGAGCTCAGAGCAACCTGCCAGGAGCTGAAGGGGCTCCAGGGAAGATGCAGAGAGACTCTTGGTTAGGAATTGCAGGGACAGGACAAGCAGCAATGGGCAGAAATTGAAAGAGGGAAATTTGGATTAGCTCTTAGGCAGAAGTTTTTGCTGTGAGGGTGGTGAGACACTGGCACAGGTTGCCCAGGGAGGCTGTGGCTGCCCCAACCCTGGCAGTGTTCACAGCCAGGTTGGCTAAAGCCTTGAGCAACCTGCTCTGGTGGGAGGTGTCCCTGCCCAGGGCAGGGGGTTGGGGCTGGATGGTCTCTAAGTAAGTTCCATTCCAAACCCTTAACACACTATGACTCTCTGATACTTACACCCCGAGCCAGAGCCTGAGTAGACATCATCCAGCTCATCATCCCCAAAGGGATCATCATCCCCAGAGCCCTCCAGGTCCACAGGTCTCTCGTAGTTCTCATTGCGCCAGCGCTGAGCCTGCAAAAAAAAAGAGACATGTGAGCAGCTCTAGACACACCAAATCAAGGCCAGTGACACCCCAGACACCCCTCCTGGCACAAGGCACAGGTTAAAGAGAGCAAAGCAAGACCAGGAGAGCAGGAACACAGACAATCTCCAGCTGAACCACCCTCAGCCTTGTTTCACCCCAAAACAGCTCAGAGCAGACAAGTTGACACTTTGTGGTCAGCTCACATCATTGACTCTGATAACATTTCCCATGGAAACAAGCCCTGTGGAAAAGGGGGGAAAAAACCCAGCAACTGCTTTTGGAAGCTGTTAGATAGATGATGAGCTTGGCTCTCCAGCTGGTTGTTGTTTAGTTGGATGATTTTCCTGAGTCCTGGCTCTGGTGTGACAGTAACACACACCATCAGCTGCCACAGCTTGGAAAGTCTTGATATGAAACAATATCAGACTTCAAATATTCTCCTGCTTTACAGAGCTGCTAAAACGTGGAGAGTCCTCCCTAGCAGGGCTCTTAAACATCTTGTTTTGCAGATCAAAGTGTCTCCTGTTCCTGTTGCAAGGAAGTGGTTTGACACTTCATTACAGCCCAAACAAGGAGGCTTTGATCTGAGAGATCACATCAGATGTTTCAGGATGTAACAAGCCAGGTTAGTGCTTCATTGTAAAAGAAAAGGGTTGAAGGGTCTCCTTCGGCTTTTAGAGCAGTTTACCCCCTCGAAACTCCCAAGTTTCTTTGTTTTCATTCCAGATTGGAACCAAAAAAAAAAAAAAAAAAAAGCTGCAGTGCTATTTTTTAAGGACATCAGTTTTTAATTGGTCTTTTTGGAACTTGCATTTTGTCCCCACATCCTTCTCCTAGAGCTCAGCAGCTGGCAAGGGAGAGAAACCTGGTCACAGGGAGATGCTCAGGGATGGAAGGTGGGAGAACACTTCTAGGGGCTGGGAGCTGATTGCTGCCATGGTGCCCAAGCCAAGGAGATGTCTCCTGGTCAAACCCTGCCCAGAGGCACCAGCTGTGCCATGCACCCATGTTGACAGTGTGAGAACATTCCTGGGTCAAGAAGGTCAAGGGGATTTGGCCTTTAAGTGTCTGTCTCTCCTGAAAGTGCTGCTGAGCTTTTCCTGTCTGGACCTGTTCCAGCTCTCCCCTCTCACCACAGCCACTGGTTGTATCCTGCCAGTCTCCAACATGCCATGTGCTTTCCAGCTGGGAAGATTCAGTCTTTGCCCTAGAGTTATAGCACTGTCCTGGAGGTTCAAATTCCCAGTCAGCAGCAGCTCACTGCTGAAATCTGTTATCCACTAGAGGAAATTTGGAATTGCACATCCCCTTGCCAAACCACAGAGGCCAAACCTCACTGCAGCTGAGGCTGAGGATGGCTCAGTGTGTTTTGAAGGCTGCACCCATAGGAGCCCATAAACAGGCCACCAGAACTGATGGGAAGGCAAGGAAAAGTGACAAGGATTGAGGGGCTGGAGGAAGAGACATTTGGAGTTCCTCTTATTTGCATTTTGATTTTTTTTATGCCACAAATCTTGTGGCTCACCAAGAAACGAGTAGCTCAAGGCACAGGGAGACCAGCCCTCAGCCCTGCCAGCCAGCCCAGGAGAGCTCCTGAGGGCTGGATTCTCCCTGTGTGACCTGCAGAGCTTCACCTAGTAATGGGAGCCACATGGCCTGGCTCCACCAAGCCTCTTCCTCCCTTAAATTGGAACCAGACGAGGCAGTTCCAGCCACAACTCTCTGGCTCCCTGTGCTCAGACTGGGAAATGAAAACAGAAGTGCATGGCTCCAGCTTGCCACAGCAGCTCCCATCTACATATCCACCTATTCAACCCTTCATCCATCCCTTATCAAGTCACATATCCATCCTTCCATCTATCCCCTATCCATCCATCCATCCATCCATCCATCCCACATCCAGTCACATAGCCATCCTTCCATCTATCCCTCACCAATCCATCCCATTCATCCATCCATCCATCCCCCACCAATCCATCCCATCCATCCATCCCTCCATTTATCCCTCATCCATCCATCTATTCCCAGCTCAGCACACAGCCAGGCTCAGCATTCCCTCCTGGAGTCACCAATCAATGCTGTACTCCAACCAGCAGCATATGGCTCCCTGACATGGTGCAGATGTTCAGAGCTGGGAGTCTTTCCTCTTTCCTCCTCCCCAAATCTTCACCTCCTGCACTGTGCAAACACATCCAGGCTAAGGGAGCAGGATCTATGCCACAGCCCCACAGGGATCCATCTCCTGGAGCCACTGGCTGCAGCAGGAACAACTTCACAGCAATAAACACCTCACAGGGCCAAACCTCACTCTCCAGAGTTAATTCCCCCAAGGTGAGAGACATCCCTCTCAGCCTGCAGGAGAGCAGAGCTGCTCTCAGCCAGGATTGCCCTAAGTGGATTCCAGAGGCTTGGAAGTTTATACCAAGGAGGGATGAGGCACAGGGCCACCTCCAGCTGCTGCCTGGCCAGCTCAGTGCATGCAGTACCAGCTCTTGCATGAGCAGGCACCACACTGCTGGGGCACTGCAATATTCATGGAGCTGCAG